GTTGTAAATGATGTTCAGGTCACGCAAGTTACAGTTTGAATTCAGCTCCCTCTGCATATCCTGGGTTGCACGCAATATCGAATCGGCATTAGGACTCGGACACCCTGATGGTTCTATCTGCTCCCACGCCACCCTTACGCTCGTCCTTAGTAATTCGTCCGAGAGTCCCAATCCAAACTCTACTCGGCTGTCAGATTTTGGCACTGAAGGTGCGGTCACCTTTTCTTCCAACGCAAGTCCCAGCTTAACCTGCTGCCTAGCAGAGTTCTTTATCGTCGCAATTCTTGACATTTAGAATCTTAGCAACACCGCTTGTTCGTAGTCGAAGAAATAATCGCGTAGTGTCTTCTTTAATGAACGGGTTGTATGCCATCGCCACGATCCCGGATACGTAACTGTACGACGTTTTCCTGATCGGTCCGCAAGATTCACTGGACTTTGGCAATACTCCGATGGATTCTTTTGTGAGCCTCAGCTCTTTGTTCGAGAATATCCGTATTTCATCAATCTTCTTTATCGGTTCCAATTCTACGGGCTCCTTCATGTTCACTCGCATCGGATTAATTGGTGTATGTCTAGAAGTGCTTGTAAGAGCAAGTTTTTCGATCGACCATTGCCTTCTCTCAGCATCTTGGCACAAGTGTTTAACGCTGGTACCGATAATTGTTCTAACATGAATCGAACGAAACAGAGAGCGTCTCTCCGCTTCGCGCACGCTACTGCCGCTCCTTCTTGGGTCATTAGGTCTCTTATACTCGTCATCAAGAACACTATTTCTTCTTTCAAAATTTTCCTTTCTTCCGAAACATCCTCTTCCTTCGTCAGCCCAGTCATGCACCAAGCGAACCTAAGTTGTAGCACCGTTCTCACGTAAGGTAGCGCTATCAGAGCGTGTATTTTTGTAGTGGTTCTCATTTCTTCTTCAAAGTGTCGTAGCATCACCGCTCTCCATGGTACGCTCACTAACTGGTCTATCGTTACCCCATGCATCTCAGAGGAGACCAGTGTTCCGTACGCCTTTCCTCAATGTCACTTTGCTGCCAAGTTTCATTTTCATATCCTTAATCTTGTCAAGCACATTTTCGATCGGATCGTTCCTTTTTGGGTTCTTGACAGGTATACTACTTCATTGCTGCCTTCATGCTGCGCGGCCTTTACGGGAGAATTCACTTAACGTTCGTCAGTGGCCGAATCGATTAACAACTCGCTCAATCTCCCATCCAACTTGTCGAGGATCTCTCACATCAAGGATCTGTTGAGGCCTGTCTTCAACATTGACTGGGTCCGGTAGCACTGAACTACCGTCCAGACGTCCTCCATGAAGGCAACTCTGTCCATATTACATCCCATTCTATTCTCGTGGTCTCTGTGGTGAACTTCCCACTTCCCATCTGGTAATGTTCCCAAAAAAAGTACTCTGGCAGTGCCTTCTATCCTTTTTCTCCTCGGAGACTCCATTAAAAGTTTCTTTTCGATAGTTCTGCTGGAATTGCTAGGAGAGCTGCACTCCAGCAATTTTCGGTTTGAAGGCTGACGGAGCTTTCAGCGTGGAAGTTTCATCCTCTGCTAGCTCAGTCGTTCCTTCTAACGTTCCCGTCTCGACTTCAAAGTCCTTTAGGAATTTGAAATCCAGGCTAGACATCCCACCTGTCGAAGCCTTATCGTCATCCTTTCCTGCCTGATCTGGATCCTGTTGCATAGGTTCCTCCGATCGACGTTGGTCTTCTCCCTCCTTGTCGTCTCGCTACTGATTCTTCCCTAAACTCGAAGGGCCTTGCTCTTCACTCCCGGTTCCGTCTGGAAACTTTAGTATGACTAGCCTGCCAGCTGACTTGTCTTCTTCTTATCCGTGCTTTGTCTCGACTTCTCACAACCGAAGGGCGCTAGTGCAGTCCTCGTCAACAGTTTTTCCGCTTTTAGCCAATTCCGGCTTCACGTTCATTACTATTAGCGCGGCGTCTTGCAAGTCTGCCTTGCCTCTCATGTTCATTGGCGCCAGGTCCAATTTCACCCCCTCTTCTTCAAATCTTCTGGGTTTCGGAGTGGCTGTATTGGTGATTCGCCTCCTCGTCGATTCATCCGTGTACGCAAACTGCGTGTATCGCATTACGGCAGCGTTTCTGCCCACGAAGCCCGGGACCATCGTCTCGGAGAAATTCGTCATCCTCCTCTCATTTGTTTCAAAGGCTCTCAATCTGGGAGTTTGTGCTACGGAGTCTGCTCCGAGCAATATCCTTCTGATCAGGGGGAATTCTGGTAACTCCTCTGGCAGCTTCTTATAGTCGCCCAGCCTTTAGTTTCCTCTCTCACTTTATGGTACGAGGCCATCAACCAAAGAATTCTCGTTATTTCCCCATTTGTCTTGTTATAAGACCTCAAGTTCCAGAGTTTCGGGAACACTTCAATATTTCCTCCGTCTACTTCATCCATTCGGTCACGGAAATGATCGTCAAAGTTTATTGCTGTCATCTCTGGCTCTGATATCTTCGCGAACAGCAAATCTTCGCTCATCAACCCACTTTGCTCACACCAATTGAGTGGGCTCCAATTCACTGCTGAAACAAGGTTCAGGTGCAACAACGACCTTCTGTACGCTTCCAATTTAACGTCAGGTAACGCGAATGTCACTGCAGGGCCGTATATCACCGTTACAAATTCCGCGGCTCATATGATTAACGCTAGGGGATCGATTAACGCTAAGGGATTGGTCCTCAAGCTAGGCTCAAATCAGTTAATAGGGGCATGCCTCCTGCATGACATCGCACATCTTCTTCTTTTTCACTCGTTTCGTCTTCTCCTGTTCTAAAGCGATTCTGTTGTAGAATGTATTGGAATAAAGTGTGTCTCAGATCCCTTACTTTGTTCCATGAGTCAGTGGATCTCTTCATATCAAATCTCCTCACGTTTTCTTTCATTTGTTCAGGATAGCGGGTCAGATTCGTCAATCCTCCTAAGTTCCCATGGGTGATCGCCATTAGTGTCAGAATTCCGCCCAGTCGCAGGTTCTGCACTCCCTCGGTGAGCAGTAGCACTGGTTCTTCATCGAAGTTCTCCGCTCCAAACGTCCCGAAAAACGCCAGATTCACAAATATCGTTAATTCTGTTACTGCTTGGAAGAACTCATTTATCAAGCATCGAGAGGGTCCGGGGTAGACGTTGGCCAGGAAGGACGCGATCCATCCTGTTCGTAAACCCCCTAGCATGCTGTCAGTTCTATCGTAGCCTTCTTTTCCCAAAAGATTCTGCGTCCGGAAAGTTTCAGGAGTTACTTGGCACATCCTATTCACGAATTCAGCTGACTTTTCCTCCGCGTTTTTCGCTAAGTTCAATTCCTCCATAAGGTACGCATGAATATTCCTAATCATCGCAGGGCCTCGTTCGAAAGTGTCCGCGCCCATTGCTGCTAATCGAGGAGTCAAGTGCAGCCCTTGTTGGCCTCTGGCTTCGTTCGCAAAACCATCGCTTCCAAGTGAGCTCTCGTCTCTTTGGAGTTCTGCCTCTCCTCTCCTTCCTCCTTTATCTCCAATCCTCTGAACCACAAGTCATTGGACATCACCTCTATCACTCGATGTTCATCGTTAACTCCTGGCCTCAGCTTGAGCTGCCCGCTGGAATTGGACAGTTCCAACCCCGACACCTCATCTAGTACTAGCATATTTAGTCAATGGTCAATATCTTCTGTTGGTCAATATGCACCACCTCGTTAAATTCAGATGACTTAATTGACTGCAATGGAAATCGCAATTTCCTTGGATCCTTGACTTGTTGACATGACATACATGCTGTTACCCACTTCTCACAAGCCTTCTTCCTCCCAGGCCATTCAAAGCGTTTCAGGATCCTCTGGTATACTTTATCAATTCCCTGGTGGCCCATCTGATCATGCGAACTGAATAACAGTTCTGTCTGATAGAGTTGCGGCAACACTATCGTGTTATATTTGTAAGGAATTTGTCTTCCTCTCTTTTCTTACAAGCCACGATCCCATCCTTGTTCAGGTATAACCTTCCTTCCTTCTGCATATAGTACTGTCTCAGAATGCGGTAACTGTCTTTCTCCAGATCACCTTTGTCTGGTGCTCCATTCTCAATCCACCTTTTCAAATTGCTCGTCATGCCGTCAATTCTTTGCAAGCTCAGTAGGTCCGAGAGTCTGTATCTCGCTTTCAAGTATGTCTTCATGACCCTAAACTGACTACTCAACTCCCCGGACAATATTTCATCCTCTCGGTTTTGTTCTTGCACACAAGCAATTTCTTCAATATCCGACTGCCCGGACAAATTTCTTTGTTCCGGGTTCTGTTCATTGACTGGAAAACTTTCTTTGACGTCCTTCTCCCCGGAAAAACTTTCTTGTTCCGGGTTTTCTTCAATTTCTCCCCACTTCTGATCGGGATTCTCAAAGGTGACAGTCTTCCTTTGTTTTCCGATCTCCTCTCCTTGATGGCATAATCTTCACTTTCTCTCTGACTGTCCGCGATGCCATCGCTGCTGCCCATTCGGGGTCATCTCTAGTCACTTCTCTCTCCAGTAATTCACCCCGCATCCGCATCACCTGCGGTGTAACCTGCACCGTTTTATCCAGCAAGGGGAGACTGTTTATATTCATACGAGAGAGCTCCTGTTGGACCAGGTTCGAACGTAGTAATAAATCCAAAGGCACTGGGTCCCTTTTTGATAAGATCTTTCTTTCCGATGCATCTTCCACCGGTAACTAGTGGTGTACCGGAATTGGATTTCCAGATTTGTCCAACCATCTCGTCATGGGAGCGCTTCATAAGTCTCTGTGTTCAAAAACGAGAACCCTTCCTTGATCTCTGCCTGATTTGCTTGCTTCTGTTCCAGTTTTTCACAAAACTCAGTCTTCTTGCTGAGGCTGTCAGCATTCTGGTGTTTGTCACACACCATGTGCTCGATTATCATGTGGTAGTCGTCTTACCTGACTATCCATCGACCAAAATAGCTCTGGTCCATCGAGTACGTCTTCAAACAGGATAGCGCTCAATTGTCCACGCGTAGCTTAAAGGGAGCACTCCCTAAGTATGCGCGGTACTTCTCCACGAATGTGATCACTGCGAACATTTCCGCCTTTGGTGCACCATATTTCATTTCAGTGTCACTCAACACCTTGTTGCCATATGCGATGGGACGGAGAACTGTTCTCCCATTCCATTCTCGCTCTTGGTGTAGTATTCCTAAGGTGGCTACTACTGAAGCATCAGTCTCGAGAAGGTACATGCCCTTTTCCGTGGGCATGCCTAGCACTGGTGCTTCGCACAGTTCCCGCTTTATGTTCTCGAAGGCAGCTTGAGATTCTTCGTTTAATTCAGACTTCTTTTCTCTGTTGCGCATCAGTGTTTGCATGGGGTACACCTTGTCTGTGTATCTTTTTATGATCTCACGTTAGTAATTCGCAAACCCCAGGAAGCTCATGAGCTGGGTGTCCAATCTGGGGGCCTTCCATGTCAACACGGCCTCCACTGCTTCCGGGTCCGGCCTACCGCCATGCCTCTCCACCGTTCTTCCCAGGTACTTGATCGAATCCCTAAGTATATCACATTTCGATTGTTTGCATTTGAAGCCTGCTCTTTTCATGCAACCAGAGACCTTATCGAGTCTATCAATGTGGTCTGCCATGGTGGGTGCTGCTATGACCACGTCGTCCACTTAACACATCACAAGATTCCCGTACTTCTTCGTCACTTTGGTCAAAGCTTTGAGCCATCAATCTTTGAAAGGTCGCTGTGGCGTTGCACAAGCCAAAGGGCATCCTCTTCAACTGGTACAACCCCAATTCACATAGGAATCCGGTCTTTTCTAAGTCCTTCTTCCGCAGAGGGACCTGCCAGAAGGCAGAGCCCAAGTCCAGTGTTGTGAAAAACTTGGCATCGTCAAAATTCGAGAGGATTTCATCAATGCGCGGTATCGGGTAGGCATCTTTTATTGTTACTGCGTTTAAGTAACAAAATTCGCAACAAAACTTAAGCTGCCCACTTTCCTTTTGGCCATGACAACCCCACAAGCCCAAGGCGACTTCGACGGTTCTATCATGTCGTATTCAAGCAACATTTCTATTTCCGCTCTGCACGCCTCCGATTGGTGAGGTGTCATGCGCCTTGCAACTTCCCTATGGGGAACGGTGCCCTCTTCTAGTTCGATTTCGTGTTCGACAAAATTGCAACAACCGATATCCGCCTTATATTTTGAAGATTTAAAAACACCCTTAAAATTTCAAATACTCCCTCACCTATTTTCCCTTTCAGGTGTTCTATCTCCGGCAAAACCGGTTTGTCGAATTTCAGTTCATATGACGAGGGGCACATTCCGGAAAATTTGAGCAGCTCGATAAGCCGTCATCCGTTTCGGATTTCCTTGAAAACAGTTTATTAAAAGATTTCAATTCATTAATTCTCTTCAAAATCTTATCTTTATTGGCATGGTTGGGGCAGTCTTTCACATTATGTCTTGTCAAGATTATTGTCTACTCATAGTCGGTCCTCATCGGCAAAGCGTAACCAAGCTTCTTTCCACGCTGGATTGAAACCGTGGTGTCCAGTGTTCAATAACACGCTGGCACATAGTCTGTTTCGTGTTAATGAGAAGCTCCGGCCTAAAATCACTGTGCTTTGATTATTTGGGTTGTTTACCAAACTAACCTGTTTAGTATCACTGGAGTTCAAATTCCTCATCCTAAAAACCGCTACAACAGCTTCTCCCGGCTGTAGTTTTACTTTTCTTACCAAAAAAAATTGGCACCTTGTTCTCATCTGTTATTTTCTATTGATCGGACGCTTAACATACTTCCGGTCCGGGTTTCTAATCCTTATTAGTCCGTTGTTCAAGTCAATCATCACATCGAAGTTCCTGACGAAGTCACGGCCCAAGATGAAATGGTCTGAGTCGTCCAGGTTTTCTACTACCAAGAAGCTCATCCACAGGTCCCGTCCTTCCTTGTGAAGGATCGTTATCTGTGTTTTTCCGGCTACGTGGATTGCCCCACGGTTGGCTGCTGCCAATCTGAGGTTTGTCGGATTTAAGTCTTCCCTCGTGAAGCCCATTCTTTCCCAAGTCTCTACTGGCATCACGCTAACCAGCGCACCAGTGTCTAGAATTCCTGTTACTCCAACTTTCTTTCCCTTGGTGTCCTGCAGATGGGCAGTCACATCTGCGTCATATCCTATGCGTACCGCATCTTGCTCCATCATGGCGTCGTGGCCTATTCTACAGACCTTAAGTTCTTCTTGGCCCAAGTAGGTCTGCCCTATTTGGTCACTGTCTGATGTGACAAAGGTCCTAGTATAGATACTGATCCCATCCACGTTCAACATCACCTGATATGGTCCATAGACTTCCACGTAGCGCCCGTGGAGTTTCTTTGTTCGAGGGCCACCGTTGTCAACAACGCTCGACATGCCGAACGTCTGCCCGGATATCACATTTAGTTTCATGCTTAAACTGCTCGGTGCTTCTGTTCCTTCGACCTCCAATGCTTCGAAGGCGTTTAGCTTTTCCTGAGTTTTCTCATTTTCTGGTTCGAGCTTCACTATTTGTTCTATCTCCTTTGTTACCAATTCCTTTTGGACTCTCGCGGCTGCCCTATAGTCGATCTTGAAACCCTCTGCCGCCGTCCTTGATTCAGGTTCACGCATTTCTTCAGTTACTGCCTGCATCTTCTTTGTTGCCAGCTCTTGCTGTTTCTCTTTTCTGCATTCCTCTGCTTCTCCCAACAGGCGCGCCTTGCTGGCTTTCACACCCGATAAAGCTTCCTCATGCCTTGGATGCTTGATGTCGGCCACAGCATCCCAAAATTGTGGACAGTCCGATTTAAAATGACCCTCCAAGTAACAAAAGAAACACCTTGGGCTGAATTTCGAATTACTGCCCTCATGAAATCTATATAATCGAATTCTGACGCATCCTCATCCTCGAGGCTCAAGCCTATCGGTTTCATGCCCTTTTTGTAGGTTGGGAATGCTGATATTCGATGATCCGTCGAACTGCAATTTGCACAAACGCATGTCCTGTCCATGTCGTCCCTTGGTTTGTACCAATTTTTGCCCTGGTTAGCTGGTCCATTGTTAAAATTGCCATAAGTATTTTTGTAATAGCCAGATCTCGTTGTAGCCATTGATTTTGCATTTCGTGAATGCCCCGCTTGAGCGTCATTGTCCTCCGATAGGCCCTCCGATAGGAGCTCCGGATTTTCCCTCCTGTTCGAGTCGCTGGAACGACTTCTTCGTTAAGCCGCATGACTCCAGCTTGCGGAATCACTTTTCCCACTCGCATTTGCGGTCTGCATTGGTCTCTCGCTTGAGGTCGCTTTGTTGCCAGTTGAGCCTCTTCTGATATTTGGGCCCCTCGACCTATTATTCCCTGTGGCATAACTGGATGAACTGCCCCTACCTCTCGTGAATCCATATGTCCTTCTTCTGTTTGCTTGTTCATTGAAATTTACTCTCGGCTCCCTGTTGGGTTCTCCTGAAATTGCTTGCCTACTCTTCGATTCACTCCTATTTCCTAGGAGCCCTTCCAACCTATCCATGATAGCCTGAGTGCGCCTCTCCATCATTGCGTCTATTCTCGTGTCAAGAGTCCAACGAGACAGCTCTTGCCGGCTTCTTAACTTCTCCATGTCGTCTCTCAACTGTACCTCTCTTTGCTCAGCTTCCGTCGTCATTCGCGACAAGTTTTTGGCTAAGTGTTCGCCCGTCATCTCCTTCAAGCGTTTTTCATTTCTGCTGACTTCTTGCCTGTTGCGGTTGATCTCTTCCCGCAGGCTTTCTCTCTCGACGTGGACTGCCCTCTCCAAATCACTAATTCTTAGGGTTATCTGTTCGTTCTCTTCTCCTATACTGTCCATTATGCTAGTCAAGGCCTCTTCGATTGATGCCTTTTGTCCACTAATGGCGTCACTAATGGTGGTATCACCCTATTGGTTCCAGGCAGTTTAGTGCTAGTCGATACCCGAGTCTTACCTTTCTGTCTCGATGTTTCTTCATAATCGGCTTCCGGTTCCATTGTTGGTTTACTTGGCCCTGTGTTACTGCTATCTCCAGATTGCACTTCCGAATTTGTAATGGTCACAAACTCTCTTGACTGCTGTGATGCATCTATAGTCTTATTTATTGTCCTGACCACACCAAATTGGTCCGAAGATCCAGTTTCCCTGTTGGTGGGTGCACCATTCTCATGAGTCGAACTGTTGAGGCTAAGTTGAGATCCGAAGTCATCTTGTTCGTCCTCCTCCTCTTCCTGGGTTTCAACCTCATCGCCTGTACATGTTCCCATATTAAATAGGAAAAAGTTCCCCAGAGTGTTCTTCACTCGTTCCAAAAACGAGTAGGACGTTGCGGTTTTCCCCGTCACCCTATGCATCATGGTATTATCAGTGGGTGATCTTGTTTTCGCTACGTTTTCAGTCGAGATGTCGGACAGTTCGGACATCTCTTCTCGATCTACAGTCCTCGTGGAAGTGGCAAAATCTTGGCCTTGTTCTACCGGAGTAGATTCACTTGCCAATCGTCTGTTCCCACTCCCTTCCGTTCCACGTCCCGCCCGATTCTCATCTGTGGCAGGGTCCGGATGGATCTCTACTTCTAACATTGCTTTTTGGCCTTAGGAGGACTTTTGACTCTTGGTTTCAACCATTACGCCTGAAGCTTTCTCCATATTGGTGTTCCGGGTCCGTGCAATCTTTTCCACAAAAGGGTCGTTTATTGATTTTCTTTGTTTCTTTGGAAAGAATTTCAGAAAACTATCACTTAGTTTAGGTATCCTTGACTTGTCTAGACTCAATTTTCGATTTATCACTTCTTACTGCTTATACACTCAATTCGTTTGCAGAGGTTTTTATTGTTTCACTACAGATAATAATAACAGAACACAATAAATCCCAAACGTTTCACCTAAATAGTGACCACGAATCCTTCTAGGTTATCACAGTACAGTGTCTATACAATTAATTCACAACAATTGAAAATTGATTATAAGATATGAAGCTAGCACAGACTGATGATATCAATATATCTAAAAAATAGTGTAATCACTACCCACTTAATAACATTTATTGAGGATTTAAATCCAAAAATTGAAGAAAGGTAAAAAAAATATTTTCAAAAATTGTATGTGTTTTGTACTTTAGTCAGTCGCAATTCAATTGTAGAACTTGTTTCAGAAGAAATAGTTTTCCCTGTTCAGTGCCACACTAAACAGACAAAACTTGAAGGCAGTATTTTTCTCAAGTGGATGTCGATTGCACCCACCGAGCCCTGTGTTACCTATCTGCCTTCATATTGCCCGAGCTAAACCTACTAATATCCTCAAGGCAACCACTTTTCCAAGAAAAAATTTAA